TGCTATCAAGGAATATGTATCAGTCCAAACTTTACAAAAGTTTGTACACTGATATTTCCAGACTTGTAGAAGATATTTCCACAGGGAAAAATTTAGTTCCAAAACACATCACAATGAAAAGTGCAAGAAGTAGAAAAAAATATCTTCGTTATGCTATTGTATGTACAGTACATAACCATATCTATATATGTACAGTAGAGCATCAATTATCTGACTCAATTGGGGACTCAGGTTGGTTGGATAACTGAAAAAATCAGATAACCGAAAAAAATGAAAAAAGTACATTATCAGTATAGTATATTAGTATATCCCATATAATTAGTATATTGCTATTAACCAACTTTGCGTTGAATTTTCATCGATGTTAAACCTAACAAATTTTTTTTTTAAATAATAATTGTCGCTATTGTATCATTAAAAATTATTTTAAAATTATTTTATTGCTCACAAAACAAACAACCACTCATAATTAGAAAATTAAGTCTCGTTTAAATACTGGCCTCTCTTCAATGGTCGAGCCAATGTTGCCAGCTAAAACACGCAAAAATTTAACAAAAATAATATTAAAGTAGCCAAGACATAGCCAAATATTGTAGTGTCACATCACTAGCGGACATTCGAAATTTGCCGACTAGAACAGCAGCATTGTCATTCCTAGTACATTTGTACTTTTCAGGTACATTTTGCCCTTTCGAGTACATTGAAAGTACACTTAGATTTTTTGTACATTTTAAGTACATTATAATATTTCAGTACCATTTATGGTACAAAATAATATTTCATGCCTTCACGAAAAAATGCAAAAAATTAGTTTAATAAAGTCTCACTACTGTCACTGCTTGCTAATTTGATTTATTCAATCACAACATACACATGGTGTATGTTGGTCGACATCAACCAAGGTTATATTCTAGGACCTTGGACACCAACAACATGCAAATGTTATAACTCAGTGGTCCTCTTTCACTCGTGTCACATTCTCACAAGGATCTTGACAAAATTTTTCATGCCACACAGTCAAAACAATTCAACTCTGTCAAACAAAAATATTGGACAGATAAGGAAATCAATGATTTTAAACTTTTGTTATCAATAATATCAAAATAGCCGTTAAGTCAGAGTCGAATTATTACATAAAATAGTTTTGAAATTGTACAGTACAAATAATATAAATACTTTTATATTATTTTCTACCACTATAATTTAGACGGCCAGATGGCTGAGCAATCAAGGTGGCAGCCTACCACTCTGGGAAACCTGGGATCGAATCCGGACTGGGTCAAAGAATCCCCAGGAATTTTTTGGGTGATGGTCCATTTGGATTTGTCAAGCCCTGTCCCTCACCACCCAATCGCCCCATTGTGGGCCTGGCCAAACCCATAATGGGCCTGCTTTAAGAGGCCCTCTTAGTGCTCACAGGGCGGAAAGAGTAAAAAGAAAAAAACTATTATAATTTAATTATGAACTTCAATTTTAGTAACCTTGGTAAAACAAATAACTTTTTTTAATCTGAATCTGTCCACATATTTAACTTATAATTTTTTTTCCCATCACTATAATATTTTTAAAAAATCAACTTTTAATGCTGTATTTAAAAAAAAACCATAGAAACTTTTTCATAAAATCTTTTTATGAAATATTTAATTTTAAAGTATTCATATTTAACAAAGTATTCATGAATATGAATTTGAAATAAGTACAAAAATTGAGTATGATGGTATATTAATATTAAAAGTAACCAACCATAGAAATAGTACATTTTTTGAAGGAGCTTCAGTATGTTTTGAAATTTCATTGTGGCAATGCTGTAGAATGGTCGGTTAACCAATGTGACGGTTAATCGGGGTAAGATAATCGATGCTCTACCGTACATAGAATATGCTATATACACAGCATATGTCTAATACACACATTCTATGATCAATTCCAGAGTACAAACTACATATGGCATGTGAAATACAATTCATATTATCACAGATCAGCAGCAATGCTCATGACTGTGCTTGAATGCACCTTTTTTTTTGCCAAGTTCTTTAATGAAAATAATGCCAATGCTGTAAGGATGCTTCAAGAGTTTGACATCTTAACCTTTCAGCAGTAAGTTAGTCAGGTATGGTGCTATCCCTATGTAGTGGAGAATAAACGTGGGAAATTTTTTAAAGTATTTTTCCACGCATTATTTTTCATTACCATTTCGGTAAAAGATTTTGAAAACAGTTATGTCTAGTAAAAAAAGTCTTTTTTTTATTGTTACATAATTCCTTTTTATGTGAATTTTTTTTTGCAGTAGTTTTTGGCGATATCTGCAAAAGAATGTTGGTGTATCTGTCCTTCATCACTGCTACATGATCGCCCTTGACGGATATATTCGTTGGTCACTGCTGAGTAGTTAAGAAACTATAGCAAGGTTTTTTGAATTTCTAGTAACACCATAAGTCCCACAGTGGTGAGTTTTGGAAGTAAATTTTTCCCCAAGGAAATCTCTTCCAAATGTCCAGAAATGTTAGCATACAAAATTTGGTTGAGTTTAGACTGCTACATCCAGACAGTATTAAGTAGAGGTGATTTAATTATAATCATACTGTATATTATGCTCTCAAAGTTCATTAAGTAATGTAATTATCAATCTTCTCAACTAATGTTTATTGAAATGTAAATTTTTAAAGTATATTTCTGTTGTAGCTTCAAACTGGAATGAAGAAACTCAGTGTGTAAAACTGCACTCACTGATTGTTTTGATTCCAATGACCGGAAATTAAAATCCAAATTAAAGATAGCAGTTTTATTAGCATTTGTGAAGTATCTAAGGAAAATATTTTTAATAATTCAATTAGTTAATACCACTATTCAAATAGTTTTGATTTTGAAATAGTATAAAAGAACTATATTTTATTTTTTGTTGTTAAAAGCAGTACAAACACACACCTATGCATTGTATAAATATGCATTTAGATTTAAAATATTTTTTGTCTACCCACATATTACAGATAACATATTAATATCTTAAATATGTATTATTTTAAAATGATAAAAAAATATGCTTTAATAATTTTATTTTATTTCAAGCCAAAATAATAATTACCACATTAGATTTGAATGCATCTATAAATTTAAATTTATATATGCATTTATAAAGAACAAAACTTGATTGCTCCAATATGCATTACATATGCTATTTGAATTAATTTTTAACATATTAAATGTAAGGTTGCATTTTGCTGATATTGTCAATGTTAAAATAGTAAAATATCATCTCAGAATTATTATAACACTATCATATCACTACTACCGAAATTATATTAGAATACCTTCATATAAAATGCTCAGTTCATTGATAAACTATTAACTTAACAACAGAAAAATAAGTTTCTCTCTCAATTACTTTTCATTCAACAGAAATGACTCCTATTATAGCATTTTTTTGTTCTTTGTCTTCCAGTTTTGTAATAGAAATAACTCATCACTCATCCTTTAACAGTCTGGTCAAGAAAATTAATTGGTTGATGGTAATATTTCCTGATAACTAAACAATTATTTTTGCAAGATACTTGTAAATCAGAAAATAATAAAATAAAATGTTCAAATTAACTAGTATTTGATTGTTTAACTGCTTTTCATAGCATTACTTTGTGAAAATACTACTTACAAAGTTAGCTATCTTTAGTCTGTGGCATTATAAACATAAATAGCACAGATCTATTATTTAACACTCTATAACATTTTTATAACATTTAAATATATCAGTAAATATCTATTTAATGATATACTAAAATGAAAATATATATACTGTAAATACAAATATTTGATATATACCAAAATAAATTATAGATAAAGCACTTTCAAAAAAATATAACTTTATAATTATTTAGAAACTTAGTTATGAATTTACTTACATTATCAAGAACTTAAGATGGAAAAAATAAATTATCAGATAACAGATTTGAATCATCAATCCAAAATTTTAAAGTACAAAACTCTGCCAACTTAAAGTTAACTCTTGGCCAAATTTTATAAAGAATTTTTATAAAATCAACTATAAAATTCAAAATTAATTTGTATTTACTTCCTTGTTAGATTAACTATGAAAGACAAATTAGCTGGAAATAAATAGATTAATATACTAAAAAAGTAAGTTTTAGTTCATATATTACTGATTTGTATTAATTAAAGTCTATTTTCTATTCCTGTATTTTAAAAAAAATTAATCACAATTAATATAAATATGTTGTATTAATTAAAGAAAATACACACATAATTTTATGAAATTTAATCCATAATTTAATGTGTAAAATTTATTTAAGAAACTATCAGTGAAATAATTACTTGGTTTAATCTCTTCAAAAAGACATATAGCAAATTAAAGTATTTTTAAAATATATCTTGTAGGATTCGTTACATCTCAAAAACTCTACTAACAATATTTTTTATTGGCTTAGTAACCAAAATAGCTGTAATATTTAACATATGTTTGTAAATATTCTTTGTACTGAAATTTTTTTTAAATTAATATTTATTACTATGTTATTATATACCTCACATTTAACGAAAAAAAATTTTTGGAAAAAATAGATAAAAATTTGTGTTAGCAAAAATTATATAGTAAGCGATCAACAAAGTTCGTTTAGGGGAAAAAAATCAATCCTTGAACAAAGGACTGAAAATCTATCCAGCTGATTTTAAAGGCCGATTCTTTTTAAGGTCATAATTTAAACAAAAAAAGAATGGTTTATAAATAGCATCGTAATAAAAGGATTTGAATTCTTAGAACATTTTAATAAAAAGAATATCCTTTTTGTTCAATAGGTGGGGATACCAGCTGATAATAGTCTGAGGTTGAGACTATCTCTTTGTTACAGAGAGGTTGTTACTTCATTGTATTTCTCTGAAAGAAACAACTAATTCTGACCTCAATTCACTTAAACCTAATTGATTGACCTAAATCCGTCGAACATACTCCAAGTTAGTTTTTAACAATTAATACATATAAAAAAGCGACTTACTAGCTGTCGTTTGGAAAGCTTGGTGTTTTGGGGGACTCAAACTGATTCAGATGACAGTAAAGGACATCAAAGCAAAATATACACATTTCCACACACGCGACCATACCGTTTTTGTATAAAGTTGGCTGGTAGGTACGTGGATGCACGATGGACCCGTTACAACACTGACTACCATGATTATTAAGTTTCTGCTTCTTCGCCCCGCAACAACCAGCAGCCATGACTCCCGAGCCCCACTCGACCGACCGCCGAGTGCAACCCCTGGTGGACGAAAACATCTTCTCTGAATGACGTCATTCAAAAAATTCCCTTTAAATACTACTGCGGATGAAACTCCGGTAGCATACGCCAATTAGAAAACGCCCTCTGAAATATCTTTACTTCAAAAATTAAAACTTGTGACAAATGAAATATATTTTACACATAAATTTATGGAAAAACTGTACAATAATTAGTTTATTTTTTAATAATATTTATAACAAATACTGATAGATATTTTATTGAAACAGTAATACTGTAAACTGCATACGTCAAAGATGAATAAATAATGAAATAATATTTTATTATAATTAACACTAATATAGCTTATATTTATTTATATCTATTTATAGTTTGTTTAAAATAAGAAATATTTTTTTTCTAATTTGAAAAAATTATATAATTTTCATTCAAGATATTTCCATGCTTTTTGTATTGTATTTTATTACAGTATTTTTAATAACTTCGCTAATTGAAGAATAACAATTAAAAATTAAATGGATATGACACAGTATTTCGCTTTCATTATAAGGAGATATGATTATTTTTAGTGGTTATATTTGACCGAAGCTAAAACATTATTCATATAATAAATAATTTAAAACATAAGATATATATCGTGTTTGTTTAAAATAGTTTATCTTTGTATTCAAATGTTAATTTATTTGATTTAAATTTAAATATGAGAGTTCCTTCGTTAAAATGTTCCATTTTGAAAAGATGGGTTCGAATTCGGTTACACTTTAAGATGGCCTATTGTATTAGATTGAAAGCGTTTGTGTTTGTTTAATGAAACGTTTCTCAACAACAGAAGATGGTTTTGATAGTTAAGTATACGCTATAATCGATTTAATTATCAGTAGCGTTCGGTGACATTTGATAATAGGGAAAACGTGTTTCTGTAAGAAGCCGACTTCCAGGGGCAATCAGTTAATTGCGCGTCAGTGATGATCTAGGGCAGGGGTGGCCAACCTTTTCAGGAAGCGAGTCAAATTTCAGAAATAATATTTTCTGCCGGGCCGTGCACCTAATTTTTTTTTTTTTTAATTAAAGTAAACAAGCAAGCATGCTACAGCTTTAATCACATCGTCGCTTCCCAGTAGGTGAAATCGTGGTCAAACACTTGCCTGGTTTAATGTAAAAAAAACACAAAAAATAGGTATATTTATTTTTTTGGAGAAAATAAAACATAACCGAGAATCAAACATATTTATTAGACAATTTAAAAATATTTAAAAGTGAGACATCTGACTGTTTTACAGAACTAAATGCATCAAAATTGATCTCCACTGATGTCGCTACACGCAAACAGTTTTCCAAATGAACATCAGTAATTTATGATCTCACTTGTGATTTGATGTACTTCATGCGACTAAAAAGCTGTTCACACGCATAAGTGTTTCCAAATAGCGAAACCATCGACAGAGCATGTTTGTAAAACGCAGGATATTTATCCTTGTTTAAATACGTTTCATAGAACTCTTCCAAACCAACTTGATGGAATTTCTCCAACGTTTCAGGGTTTACTTACTTATAGAATCGATATGGTAGACAGGCTACTTGGTTAAAGTAGTTTGAACTGTAATTATAAATATGTTAAATATGTATTTTAACGTCGATTGCAAAATCTCCTCAGATGCATTGGCGATAACGAAAACTACACAATAAAACGAAACTACAGAATAACACGAAACTTTGTCAAGCTGGACTGAAAGTAGTTATGGGTATGAGCCCGATAGCATTCCGAGCTTCCCGAAAACGCCGAAGACCACAGAACATATATAGCTGAAGTTGAAGTCTCATATTAAATTTTATCAACACCTAGCGTCGGACAAAAAACTAAGTAACCTTGAGTGTCAAATAGCGGGATATTTCAAATAGCTAAAAATCTATGAATTTTTCCAAAAATGAGAGATATTTCAAATTTCTCTTAGCTACAATTTAAAAAAAAATGATACGAATAACTCATGACGTAATGTTCTTTTGGTGATTAGTTAACCATTACGTTAACATTTACGTTCATTTGACCTAGCTCCGCGGGCCGAAACATGACTCCCGGCGGGCCACATGCGGCCCGTGGGCCTCGTGTTGGCCACCCCTGATCTAGGGTCCATTCGTATTCGTTTGTTCGATAAGCCAGTAAAAACCTTAGACTTTTCTAAATGTATTTTTAATATCACAATTACATTCCGAATCGCTAGCCAAGATTTAAGGGCTACAATTAAAAATAAAATAATACAAACTTACTTGGTGAAATAAAATGTGGTGGATGTACCGGTACATACCTGGTACAAAATATTCTTCAATTGTATGAATATACTTTTCAAGAAAATTATAATTAAATAAAGCTTTGTAAAGAAACGTACATAAAAATGACATAAAATATTATTTTCTTTTTAAATATTAAAACAATCCACTTAGTCAAATAGCGCCTTACCAGTAGCTAATGGATGGAATCAAAGACGATCTTGGTAGATGTGCAGTGCGTGCATGCATGCCAAATCCCGAGGGTGCCGATACCGGTTAATGTCAAATGCCTCTTGTCGCATCACTAGTATACCTCAAAGGACGCGACAGGGTTGTTGTAGATTTTAAACGTTTCTCGCCTTAGCTGTAAAAATCTAAATTTGTTAAACTTAATAGTCATTTGTTTTCTAACTAATTCGTTTTAGGACCAGGTGTCCACGGAAATTTAAAAAATTTACTTTTCAGTCTCTCTCATTGAACTAAAAAATTTCTGTTTTTATTACATCTAATATTACGAAGAAATCAGTCCCCACTGTACTCGGCTAAAGATTGATTCGGGAATATTACTTAAAAGATTAAGCTTTTAAGTAATATTCCCGCTCTTTCAGCAGGGTTTTATTTATGTCCCTACTTCCCTAATCTCTTAATTATTTAACTACTTCTTAAGTAGAAATAAGTTGAAACCGGTTACTTTGTACTTGAATATTTGTAGTCTTGGGAAAGAAGTGTAAAAAAAACAAAATTTTTATCACAAACGGATACATAAATCGTAAATTTAAGGAAAATAAATTCTAGAGCTTTTTTTGTACCTCGTGCGATTCATTGATTAGATTTAGTTGTAAATGATGCTGCCAAAGTAACAGTTAATTTTTTAACATTGTACAAGAACTGTATACGTTTTTTTCTACATCCCCTTATAGATGGTACAGTACTGTACATAAGAGATCATAATATGAGTAGTTTAACATTGAAATCCGTAAGTAATATAAGATGAAAGTACGGAATAAAAGCAGAAAAAATATGTCAAATATTTTAATGGATTTTTTTAAACTTCTATCAAGTTTACAGAACTATCGTAAAAACATAACCCAACCGATTGGAGTTTACTGGTAAGTTATAAATCTACTCGTGATTTATTTAAACAATAGAAATCTTATCGTTTTTTTTTCTCACGTAGTATAGAAATTTGTAATAAGATATATAATGTAGTTATAATAAAATATTAATTTTAATTAATTTAAAGTACATTAAAATATGAAAATAATTGCACAATATGTATTTATATTTTAGAAAATACAAGGAAAGCGGCACTTTCACCGCTTCCAAAGAGGGCACGCCACTGGTTAAGTTATAAATCTACTCCCGGTTCACATAATGGGAGAGGGCGGCCAGATATCTAGCTGGCAGGCGGCTAGCAGCCCAGAACCGGTGCTGGATAGAATCATTGGAAGCGTTGTATGTGTAGCTTACACCGATAGGTTGATGCTCTGTAAAGCGCATGCGCATATGCCTATAATCTGTCTGTTTTCACCAATCAAATATTTTCGTCGTGGAAGCTGTCCCGTATTTGACAACACGGCGCTTCCATTGGAAATATCCATATACGAATTTATATACGAATATACCAGTGTTTTTCAACCGGGTGCCGCGGCACCTTAGGGTGCCACGGCGCCACGATTGGAGTGTCGCAAAGTTTAGAGCATTAAGGCATTTTCTTGGAAATTTACTTAAGTGTAGTTCAAGATAACTCATTGTCAGTTCTATTTTGCTACGAGATATCTAGTAAGCAAAGAAACTATGACTAATCACATGTTAATGTAATGTTCTACGCTACGTGTACGCGCGACTTGTCACGAGTTCTCCCAAACCACATTGCTTGGCCTTCACGTTTCCAGTCCCAGTACCGGGCCAACCACCAGAGAAGAACGACGTGGACACTTGTGACTTGTATATACTTTAAAAAGCGTTGCATTGTACTTTGAAAAGCGTGTGGTTTCAATCACAAAGTAGGTGCATATTACAGTATTTTCATAGTATTCAAAAGCAATGATGACAAATAAACAATTGTTATCATTTTTTTAATTTAAATTTTTTAAATTGATATGAAAAAGATAAGAAAAAAATAATGAAATATTTATTTTATATATGCATCAAAATAGTATAAAAAAAACTTAACAAAAATTGTTTATCAATAAAATGATAATATAAAATGATGATATATTTGATGATAAAACTGTATTTAAAAAACAATAGCGAGACTATTATTTTACATGTAGGTATTTCGACAAAATTCAATGGACTTAAATTTTGATTTTGAACACGTAGAAACACTTTTGCGTCGCGCGTAATAATATTTGTTATATCAAAAAATTTATCTGACCCATTAGTCCCTCTCCCTTATTCAGATTCTAGATCCGCCGCTGGTCAAGGGTGTCACGATTTTTTATTTTTCAATTAGGGGTGCCACTGAATGAAAAAGGTTGAAAAATACTGCATTAGCCACTCGTAGGGAGCTATTTGACTAAGTGGATTGTTTTAATATTTAAAAAGAAAATAATATTTTATGTTATTTTTATGTACAGTACGTTTCTTTACAAAGCTATATTTAATTATGATTTTCTTTAAAAGTATATTAATACAATTGAAGAATATTTTGTACNTTTTTATGTACGTTTCTTCACAAAACTATATTTAATTATAATTTTTTTTAAAAGTATATTCATACAATTGAAGAATATTTTGTACCAGGTATGTACAGTACAGTACATCTACCACACATTTTATTTCACCAAGTACAGTAAGTTTTTATTATTTTATTTTTAATTATAGTCCTTAAATCTTGGCTAGCGACTCGGAATGTAATTGTGATATTAAAAATACATTTAGAGAAGTCTATGGTTTTTACTGGCTTATCGAACAAATGATACGAATGGACCCTAGACTATCACTGACGCGCAATTAACTGATTGCCCCTGGATGTCTGCTTCTTATAGAAACACAGCTTCCTTATCATCAAATGTCACGGAGCGCTACTGATTGAAGGTAAGTTTGGAAATTTTTTCATTAGTAAATAACACTTGTACAAATGAAACACTTCCAATAATAGTTGAACATTTGATAAGTTTATAAAAAAAATTGAATTCTTATTTTCCATTACTTAACACTGAACAATATGATTGGATTAGAAACTTATTCATGGAAGCTTCAAGTGATTTTGGTTTAACATTAACAGAAGAAGAAGAATTGGCAGCTATATCCACTGATCGTGGATTGATGATTAAACATAAGGAATTGTCTCATGAAGACTTTTGGATTTCTATAAAAGAAGAATATGTGGCGATATCTAAAAAAGCTTTGAACATTTTACTACAATTTTCAACATCTTATTTATGTGAATTAGGATTTTCTACCTTCAACACAATTAAGAGTACAAAAAAGGAAATCTTTAATGTAATGACAAGGAAATGAGAGAGCAGCCGGATGCAGCCCACCACTCTGGGGACTCGGGCTCGAATCCAACCGCGTCGAAAAATCTCCCAGGAATTTTTCGGGGGTGGTCAGTTCGGATATGTCGAGCCCCGTCCCTCACCACCCGGCAGCCCCATTGTGGGCCTGGCCGAACCCATAATGGGTTTGCAAAAAGAGGCCCTCTTAGGCCAAGACTCCACTAGCATAAAAACCTTCGCCGTAAAAACTTTTAATCACGTGGCCTATTTGCGTTTGCATCTGAATTGCGATGGAGGTACCGCTAGCGATGTTTTTACGGCGACGGTACTATCGAAGTTATAAAGACAATGATTATATTCTACAAGTTTTCTTCTGTACTATAATTACAAATGTAGTAAAAATAATATCTTTACTTTCATATATTTACTTTTATTATCGCATTATTAAGATAATATACAGCACTTATTAAGCTTAGCTTTTTTCATTATCTACTCCTCTTAATTGAAGGATTTTCCTTTGGCCGTCCGTAAGGCGTGATTTAGGCATTATTATAATCGGAATACTTCTTGTCGTAGATACACGAATACTTTCGGATGTTTTCGATAAATCTTTCAAGATCTATTCTAGAGTAGCCACGAGCAGAATCGGTAGATTAACTGGTTTTTCGAATAATAGTTCAAACTTAGCTAGAGACAATATTTGCTGCTAGTTGGCGCCACTGTCAGCAGGGGAGCGTTGCTCTTGCTAGGTATATACTGAAGTCAGTGATTTTGACCTATAATAATTGTTTTTTTTTAGCTACATAAAAATGCCAACGTGCTTTGTGCCAGGATATAAGTCATCGAACGAAAAGAAACATTTTATTTCGTGTTCCTAGCGATAAGATTGAGGAGTGGATGCGATGCATTTCACCAGACGGCAAGATGCTAACAAATAAATGTTACGTTTGTGACGTACATTTTGCGAGTAGATTTATTTAAAAAACCTTCTCCCATGTTATAAATGGAGAGAAAGTAGAAATTCCACGAGATCGCTGGGCATTAACGTCGGATGCATATCCATCAAACTTCCCTAATTGTCCTAAATACAGTGGTGATATTCGAAATATTTAACAAAGGGTTCGCTAACAAAAAAATTTTTCCTTAAACACCTTAAACCTTAAGCCCGCGATATCTCGGGCAAGTTACATAGCGTTACATAAAACTCAGGCGTTTGGACCCACTACAATTTTTGGTTTTTTTGGATTTTTGGAATGTTTTTTAAGTCTTCAAATTTTTTCAAAAATTTTTTCCCGCGCGAAAAAAATTATCGCGATTTCAATTTACCTTTAATGACACACGTTTCACGCTTAATTGCTTTTTTATTGTTTTTTAATGGGAGTTTGATATCAAATTTCATTCATCGTTCTAAAGTTGTAGTGTACAAATTTTCCTTCGGTAAAGTTATTTAAAGCTAGTTTCTGATGTCAAAAACGACCTCCGATAGTTTTTAAATTTTTTTAATTAATAGATTTTATTATATATAAGTTTAATTAAGTCGGGGGGTCGGAAATCGCAATAAAAATTTTAATTTTTTAAAAATATACGGCCAGCTAGTATTCACCCTACTATAAACCCATCGCCTCCCGAGACTTCTATGAGAACGTCCCGGGAAATCCAACTCCAGCTGTGATCAAGGTCATCCAGCTGTTTAAACAATGACTCATCAGCGTCAGATTTCACAGAAAGACAAGACAAAGGAAAATAAAATCTGAAGCTTTTTCTTCAGAATTAACGCATTTCTTTCGTTTTTTCAGTTTTAAGTATTTTTTATGTTTAATTACATTAATATCAAAAATTGCTAGAGTCCCAAG